CGAGTTCTGTAGCTTTGGAGCTTCACTCAGAAGGGTTTAGTGGAACAGACAGATATGGCGATGGTAAGTGAAAATAACGATCAAAAACACGTAAATATACATGCTTTTGCAAGGCTTATGTATAAGTGTGGTCCGACGTGGTATTCCTTAAGTTCGCACGCTGTAAAAGTCCTTAATTTTAAAACGACAATTATTAGTAAAATAACTTAACGCTTTTCCAAACCATTTTTGTTTAATTGCCGAGTCAAACCGATTAAAACAACTACAACAAAAGTCCTTAATTTTAAAACGACAATAATTAGTAAAATAACTTAACGCTTTTCCAAACCATTATTAGTAAAATAACTTAACGCTTTTCCAAACCATTTTTGTGTAGTTGCCGAGTCAAACCGATTAAAACAACTTCAACAATATCCAGAAAATGGAGTAAAATACACAACCCCTGCACATATTGAGCTCGCAGTGGAGTCCCCCAAAGATACACATCAAGAGACACCAACAACATCAGAAGAAAAACATCAAGACACCGTTGACAACTCTGATATCTCAGATGAACAAGATTCAGGAACTACATCACGTGGTAAAGAGGTTACATTTAATATTGGAGAACCGGAAGATGTGAAAGAGGAAGAAAGAAGGTGCTCATCACCTTTCGTTCCCGATGAATCTGACATGGAGTCTGAAGTTGGAATGGAAAACGAAGATGTTCCAAGTAGAATACCAAAGTGAGTAGTTTGATGTGTAATTTTATAACTGACTGTTGATCCACAAAGACACAATGCTGAAATAAATCGCGTACCGATATTTGAAATACTAAGTAAAAATTGTAATGGAAGGATGACTAGAACTATRTGGATGGGATAAAATGTGGTAWGGGACGAGATGGRAAGAGACGGAACAGTGCCAAGAGGATGGRRCAGATGTAGTTGAATAGCTTGTGAAGCTGAKCAAATTGTATKGGATATGTATTTAGGATAGTTTGATTGTTCTTCTAGCTATCGTATTGGYGTGTTACCTGTGTCGCCGTACATTGGACGAACGCCTGTTAGATGTCATTTATTAAAAAYACCAAAGGCTCACTGCTGCCTGAAACTATATCAGGTCAGTRATAATCAACCCTCTTTCTTTTCCATATCWYGAATWTTCMAYACCCAATRTTGACCATGTTTTGYKKKTYGTYSTTMTTRYKKCKTCAKCAWYAWYRYCRTYRTWKA